CATATTATAGAGACAGGATATAAAATTGATATTTTAAACCTATCTATAAAACGTTTTTGGGGCGTATCCTAAAGTTTGTAGAAGCCCTAGTTGGCAATTAGAAAGTTTAAACCACCTTTATGCGTTCATCACAAACAATCCGTCATCACATTAAACCTTCCTTGGTAAAATTTTGTTTTAATACCATAGCAGATGTACTATTACCTCTGCTATTTGGTTTAGTGGTCTTCATTGTTATTTTGACCTTGAATATGTCTTTTTAACTTGACCTAAGTCTATTTTCTCACCTCTTACCTTTTTATTAATTTCAAATATAATCCTGTGACAAGTCCGTGGAGTGTGATCAGATTGTTCGAAATGTGTTGCGCAAATACATTACAAGACGATTCGAATAAATTACGTCTTCTTATTGATTTATCTACAAGACCATTTGACAACGGAATTATTTATTGGTAATTCGATTTACAGATATGGGCGAAATACGTCTATCATACATCAGAATCACAATTTGCACATTATATTCGGTGATGTGCTTCATTGTCTTACTCTCATGTTGTTTCACAAGCATCGTTCATTTCTACTGTTCACTATTAAAGCCATCTCTCTGCTATTCGATATTTTTTTGATTATAACTTGATTCCACACACTACTTTTGGTACAAGTAGGGAATTTTCAGCATGTGATATCGGTAGCCCAAATTTTGCAGGCCGACCATAGATATCAGGTGTGAGTCGGCAAAGGATCGTACCTCGGACCATGGGCATGGTCGGCGAGAGTCCTAACCACTGTGCCACCGACGCCATAAAACTTGCCAGCAGCACACGCCACCCACACTAGAACTATCAAGGTAGCCTATCAATATTCGACAAATTTATTTTAATTTTACTTCTCCTAGTATTGACTGGTGAACTGTAGTCATTTTGAATCCTGAAATATACTGCCTCTTATTTATTCAATTTATTTAGTTAAGTAACTAAAAAGAATGTATATAACACATCATATACCCTGAGAAGTTTATTGTCAATACTATGTTTATGTGATCTCCGGCTATCAATCAAAGGGCGTGTGTACAGCTCATCAGTCCGCTCCGTCCTCCTTTATGGCTGGCTGTGAGACCTGTCCATTGAGAGTGAAAGACATGGAAAGATTAGCTGCCTTCGATCATAGGTGCATGTGTTCTATCTCTCGTGTGAAGTGGTATAATAAGGTGAGCAATATTGAGGTTACGCTTCGGTCGAGTGCTAGGTAAGGACGGGAAATCAATCGACGAGGCTGTGAAATAACATCAACTCAGAGAGTTAGGACATGTGTTACACATGTCTAGTCATCGCCTTCCTCGACGACAGATAATGTTAGCTGATATGGGGTCAGGCTGGAAAAGAGCTAGCGGTGGTCAAACGAAAACATGGCACCAGTCAATGAAACCCACAATAATTCCATTATGGGTCAATTTTGTTTTGATAAAGTCTCACAGTGTTATACAGTAATGTTTACTGATGACGTTTCGAGCACAATTTATTGCTCATAATCATATCAAGGTAATCACACGACTTCCTAAATTCATTTATATAGTTCCATTGTTTTTCTCTTGATTTTCACTTGATTTGATTGGTAATAGTATTTTCCATATTTCAGGTATGAGTGATGAGTCATTCCTATTGCATGTGTTGGGTGTAGACTCGATGAACAAGGATTCAGTAATCAACCTCTCTCTCCACCTACCTAGATTACTTTTTAGAATTTTAACTCTCTCCCACCCTATTGTGTGGTTGTGTGTTAGCGCATGCATTGCAATTGCTGAGCTTTTTTCTAAATTACTTATCTTCTCGGGGTCAACCATTCTTACCTTAGCTAAATTCTTATGCTCTGACAATCTGACTACCCCTGACCTACTAGTTTGACCTATGTAGTTGACCTCACAGTCATTGCATGGTATTTTGTAAATAATATTATTTTGTCTAATTGGGTCAACTGGGTCCTTTAACCTACAGAGCTTGTCCCTGAGTGAGTTTGTAGGTTTAAATGCCACCCTAATTCCTATTTTATTCAGAATCCTACGTAGTGTCTCAGATGTTCCCTCTTTATATGGTATAACTGTGGATGACTTATATTCTTTCTTATTTATGTTATTATTACTAGTTTCACAATTATTTTTATTTTGTTTTTGGCCTTTAGTGATCTTCCTAATGAATTTTATAGGATAGTTATTCAACACCAACGCTTCTTCTATCTGTTTTAATTCATCATTTAGATCTTTTTTTGTGCTACTTAGTGCCACTGCTCGGTTTGTTAAACATTTAACTAAGCCTGCCTTAACAGTTAAAGGATGAGACGAATTAAAGTCTAAATATCTATTAGAATGCGTTGGTTTTCTATAAACACTAGTGTGTAGTTTGCCTTCTTCTATTCTTTTTATCTTACAATCTAACATAGCTAATTCTCCTTGTTCATTTTCTGATTCAAATGTGAATTTTATTCCCTCAACTTGTGAGTTTATATGTGTCAAGAAGCTAGAGATGTGTTCTGTTTTTAGCACTGTGAAAGTGTCATCCACATATCTCCACCATATTTTCGGAGTAGGGTTAAATGGGTCCATATGAGGAAATTAAGAAGCCTGTGGATACAATAATGAATAAGGTTAAGAAATCTACAGCGGAACTAATACGCAGAATGAAGCCATCCCTGGGTGAGTCTAAATGGTTTAATTTAATGCCTAAAACTAATAATGCTAGTAGAATATATGGTACTATAAAAATACATAAGCCAGGTTACCCCATAAGACCAATAGTAGATTTTAGAAATACCCCCACGTATGAACTATCAAAACACTTAGCTCTAATACTATGCCCCATTAGAAATCGTTCAAACTCTAGATTAACTAATTCATATGAGATGAAAAATAAAATAAATGACATTCAACTAGCGAATGATGAAACAATGGTTAGTTTTGATATAACTAGTCTTTATACTAATATACCAGTTAATATGGCCTTAGAAGCAGTTAAAAAAGAATTAACTGCGGATCCGGAACTCAGTCATAGGACAAAGCTGTCCATTGAAGAAATTATTTTAGGAATTCAGTTATGCCTCACATCTACTATCTTTAAGTTCCAAGGCAAAATATATAGACAAACAGAAGGTGTAGCAATGGGATCACCAATATCCCCTATCGTAGCAGACATATTTATGGACAGCTGGGAAAATAGTGCCCTCAATACATTTAACCCTACTCCGAAAATATGGTGGAGATATGTGGATGACACTTTCACAGTGTTAAAAACAGAACACATCTCTAGCTTCTTGACACATATAAACTCACAAGTTGAGGGAATAAAATTCACATTTGAATCAGAAAATGAACAAGGAGAATTAGCTATGTTAGATTGTAAGATAAAAAGAATAGAAGAAGGCAAACTACACACTAGTGTTTATAGAAAACCAACGCATTCTAATAGATATTTAGACTTTAATTCGTCTCATCCTTTAACTGTTAAGGCAGGCTTAGTTAAATGTTTAACAAACCGAGCAGTGGCACTAAGTAGCACAAAAAAAGATCTAAATGATGAATTAAAACAGATAGAAGAAGCGTTGGTGTTGAATAACTATCCTATAAAATTCATTAGGAAGATCACTAAAGGCCAAAAACAAAATAAAAATAATTGTGAAACTAGTAATAATAACATAAATAAGAAAGAATATAAGTCATCCACAGTTATACCATATAAAGAGGGGACATCTGAGACACTACGTAGGATTCTGAATAAAATAGGAATTAGGGTGGCATTTAAACCTACAAACTCACTCAGGGACAAGCTCTGTAGGTTAAAGGACCCAGTTGACCCAATTAGACAAAATAATATTATTTACAAAATACCATGCAATGACTGTGAGGTCAACTACATAGGTCAAACTAGTAGGTCAGGGGTAGTCAGATTGTCAGAGCATAAGAATTTAGCTAAGGTAAGAATGGTTGACCCCGAGAAGATAAGTAATTTAGAAAAAAGCTCAGCAATTGCAATGCATGCGCTAACACACAACCACACAATAGGGTGGGAGAGAGTTAAAATTCTAAAAAGTAATCTAGGTAGGTGGAGAGAGAGGTTGATTACTGAATCCTTGTTCATCGAGTCTACACCCAACACATGCAATAGGAATGACTCGTCACTCATACCTGAAATATGGAAAATACTATTACCAATCAAATCAAGTGAAAATCAAGAGAAAAACAATGGAACTATATAAATGAATTTAGGAAGTCGTGTGATTACCTTGATATGATTATGAGCAATAAATTGTGCTCGAAACGTCATCAGTAAACATTACTGTATAACACTGTGAGACTTTATCAAAACAAAATTTACCCATAATGGAATTACACTCTACCACAGTGCACAAGTTTTATTCTTATATTAAGAAACCCACAATAGTTAGTTTAAGTCACGTAGGAAGGTGTAGACTGGATTTGTGGTTGGGGGCCTCGGGACGGTAAGAACCAATGACAGCTCGAGACAATCAGTGATATGGCTCAAAATCGTTCTCAGTGATGTCTGGCGCAGATGCATCCACTCCTTGTGACTTATGATTTCCAATGAAACTGTTTTGTTCTTCGTTATTAGTATTCCTTTGTCTCACACCTCTGTTTAGTGTCTCTATTATGCATTTCTTCTACTTTCTTCTCTTGCTTTGTGTAGTACATGGTGGGAGTGTGGCGACTTGAACTACTGCACATCGGTGCAAAGTTCTATATCGAAAATAGATAGACAGACAGACAGACTCTCTTCATAGAATAAATAGCATCAAGTAACTTCTCACTGACATCAATATTTCAAATCACCTGTGAAATCAAAGTTACGAATATACAGTAGTTGAGATATTTAGTTTACTAGTAAAAGCATAATAAATTGGAAGAATTTATTCTTTGTAAGAAAATATAAATCAGTATGTTTATATATACACATTTATAAGCTGCTGTTTGTTTAATAAAGTTGGTTTCTTTTTTTTCATTTAATATCTTGAAGTTTACGGAGACCCTAAAAGAAATGAAAATTACTATATGTGAAAACTTACTTCTAAAAAGAGTTTAATTTGAGCCTTTATAGAAATAGCCTTTTTCTTGTACATATTAGCGCGTTCATTTAGAATAGAAACACGTGATTCAATCAACTTTAAAGCTTCAGCATGACTACATTCAAGATAAAAGCCAAGACCAATATCAACTGCAATAGGTTCAAGAGAATGACTACATTATTTAATATGTATACATATATAATACTGTATCCTTACATTATTCCATTCACATAAATATTACTTCCCACATTCACTTTCGTTTCCAAATTCGTTTGAGGCACGTCAATATCTCTCATCTTTTCAATGAGATTTTTTAATTCTAAGTATTCAGAAATTTGCGAATATATTACATCCCCAGCATCTAAAGTTTTTCTAAGTATTAAGTTTGCGACATATAGTTTAACAGTACTTTAGATCTGTCTTCAGTGTCTCGTTAACATGTTCTTCAATCTTTAATATACGTTGATCCATTTGAATGGTTACTGGGCTACCAAGATTTTATGAGCAGCAAACCTGAAAAAAAAATGATAAAAATGGGGAACTTAAAAGTTCAATCAAAAAAGTTTACAGAAATTAATCATATCAAGTTGAAGGCTTATGAAAACTGTTCAGATAGAACTATCCTGTGTAAAATACTAACTAGACACACAGCCACAAACTCGACCAAAGTTAATATTTACTTACGGAAACATCATGCTGCAAGGCTGGGGTGCGTGAGTTACCCATTGGATGTCAGTGTTCAAATTAATTAAATACACTCCTAAATTATTTGACTTACAGTAAAATATGAAAAAATAGAGGCTCATGGCTTTAGGCAGATTTGCATTGGTTACGCAGTCGACTATACGGTAACCACAACTAAATGAGTAGAATGATTCGTATATTATGCGGTTAGTCAGTGTAATCATTTCAACTTTGATAATTTTTCCTTCACGTTCTCAGTGGAACATAGGGCTTCAAGCTAGTGGCTTGAAGTTTCTGTAGCAGTGTTTATTTTACAAGATGGGGTTGCTAGCCTCATGCCCAACCTTTCCTCTTTACCAGCATTGTTTCTGGCTTAGCGAGGTGAAGAATTGCATCGGCCGGGGGTCGAACCCCGAACCATGTGCATAGTTGGTGAGCCTTCTAATCGCTGTGCCACTGACGCACCCACCACTTCCACTTTGATTGTGTATAAATATGAAGACCGATGCGAAACGTCAAATTATTTATCAATGAAGCTTGAAACAAGCTATGACAATCGATGTTAGTACGAACCCCAACTACTGTAGATAATATTTGTTTATATAATAAGTAGATACGAGAAAGAAGGAAAGGCAAACGATAGATACTAATGAAACTCCATATAGTATCAGGTAGCTGATTCAGTCAATGATTGCAATGCTGTAACTACAATTGTTACAAAAAACCCTCAGAGCTTAACATCAAAAAGGAGGGAGGATGGCACATGCTGATCAGTAGATATGGTAGTGGTCACAAATGTGAATCGCTCCGATCTGTAGGATAGCAACATGCATTTTTTGACAGCTCGAGAATCAAACATTAGTCTGGACCCTCAACAAAAAATAATAATAAGGGTTGTACAGATCTAAATTATAAGTTTAAAAAATGCTTTTGCTCCTACCATCTACAAACCTGTTCAGCTTCTTGTCAAGATACTACCCATTGGGCCCTACAGAAATTCGTGAGACATCTTACAGGTTAGCTTGTCCTAGGGGTTCTAATTTTCCAGATCTTTGAATTCACTCCTCACTTAAATATCACTTACCTACCTCACAATAATCTTTTTATTTACGCACTATTATTCTGTACTTTATCTTAACTACCTAGAACATTATTAAAGCTAAAACTTGCTCTTTGTTAATATTTGTTGCTTGCCCAAGGTCTGGTTGCTTTGACTGAAAAGACACAACAACACCAATGCTTGAACAAAGCTATATCTTCATCGAAAACATCATAGTTTCCATGCTTAGACCAATATGGTTAGCATTACACATTATAAATGTGTCCTATCATTTTAAGTACTACATAGCTTCTTCTTGTATTTATCTTGTAAATATACTTTCAATAATGTATTATTCATAATTGCATTTTATAGCATTTTGCAGCTGCGTAGAATTTTCTTCTCTCCCTGAGATAGCGTTCAATCACCTGGCGGCATAGCAACCCCCCCAGATATACGCTGTTCACTGGCTGACCATAACTATCAGCAGGAAACGGAACGCAGTTTGGGTTGTCGCTCAACTTTGATGGTGACCTTAGCAAACGGTTTACAATTTAACATTTATAAGAACCTGTTCTAATTGCTTGTACAATAATTGAACAATTTAAACTTTTGAAAAAGTATTAATTCATGATACTTCAGGATCGTAATTTATAACATTACTGATCGTGCCTGTAAAACTGGCATGGATCCCTTGTAAACTTACCCGTTTATACGAAGTATAAATTATTATTATTATTATTAATCCCGATAAAGGTTAACAGATTTAGAATTGTTTTGACTACGTGAAGTGAATGTGTTATGTCTAGGGAAGTGGTTTTGACTACTACCCAAGTTTACAATAGTGTTGAATAGATGTTTTATGCGCTAAAAAGCTGATCCGTGATGAACTGATGTGTGTAATGCTAAGAAATGCCGAACTAATGCAGAAAACAGAGCACAGCACCTATTTATCATATGATAAAGAATTTCCAGTCGGAAACGCACATGAGGAAAGTGGGCAAAGCACAACATAAAATACCCACTTTTCCAATCTTCACTACGATATTTACATTCCATATTTCTCATTCTATTACCCATTTAATTACTTCACGCTTTCTTCGCCTTATTGTAGACTTGAACAACAGTTGGTCTTACGTCTCGGTATGTGAAGTAAGTATGCATTCAAATTTCAATTCATGTGGCATGAAGCGACTAAAAATGTACCCTGATCTTAAAAGCAACATCTCCATCTAACAGTGTAGATCTACATAATAAGTACCAAGAGAATAATTAGAACACTGTATCTGCCACACCATACTCAAAAAGGTCAGCCTGATTTGATTGGGAATGATCTTTCGTAGCATTCCCTAGATCTGATTAATTCTCGAAGGTCAAATTTTGAAAGACTTTGACTTCAGCTATGATACTTTAACTTCGCCTACAATAGAATTCCCAGTCGGAGAATTTCTTCAGGTCTGGGATCGATGGATAAAAATGTACGTGGGTAGTGTGGATAAAGCTGGAAAAAAGTGGGAAATGAAAATTTTTCGGATCATGGGCAAAAGTGGCCAGTATGGGCAGAGTAGGTAGATTATATTGCATTTTACCCAAAATATATGCATACATATATCTATTGTTATTAGTACTCTCTTGCGCGAGCTTCGAAAAGGAGAGTGGCATTTTTATGTCGTGAAGTAACTTCTGCTTTTGTTGTGTAAATCACATCAAAAGCTTTTCGGTTTACTTCAACTGGTTTAATTAGCTGTATTAGTATTATTCTCAACAACGCATTCAAGATCAAGGATAAAAATATGAGAATTAGGCCCGACTGGACTTTGGAAGATAGAATTAAGAGAATAGAAGCCGTGGCTGAACTAAAGGTGAAAAAGACCTCAAACTGTTGATTTTTCGGGTAGTGGGGTCTCGAAAACCTATGCTGCCCAGACACCTGTTCAAAGTCGAGTGAACACCCAGGTCTCTCAGTATGCTCTACGAACGCTTATAGTCTTAGGAGTAAGTTTCCTGAACTAGGAGTGTTGTCTGAAGAACTACAACTTCATGTGATTGCCGAAACATGGTTGTTAGTGGGTGTAGACTTAACTCCACTTATACTTGGGTACATCTGCATCAGAGCAGACAGAGTAAGTAGTCAGAAAGGTGGGGGGTTGATCTATACATCCGGGATGACATAGGAATTAGATCAACGTTGTCCGAAGCTCATGACAGTGGTACAAGTGGAGCCGCAAGATGCGTCATTAACTTAAACAAGGGCACTGTGACAATTGGGGTTATTTATAGAAGTCCTACCAGCCGAGCTGACGATTTCGTTCTAAATCAACCTAGGACCTGGAGTGGTAGGAATAGGTGTCTAGTAGTAGGTGACTTCAATGCCCCACATATTAATTGGGAGGAATTAACATCAACTACTTCGTACAATTGTTTCAACAGGGAACTCATACTGGCAGTGCTTGAATGCGCATTTGTACAGCATATAGATGCACCAACACGATACCAGCCTGTAAAAGAACGCATGGGAGCGGTTTGCTGTGACTGGGAGGGTTGAGTTTCAGATGGAAAACCGCAAAATTCGAAACCTTTGTAGGCATAAGATTGGCAAAAGTCTATAGAGTATGAGAGACAGTTAGTACTGGATTGTATGCATTATCCGAAAAGACTGTGCTCGTATATCAAACGCAGGACTAAGACTAGCAGTGGCATACCATCCCTCATTAGCAATACTGGAGGGACGGCCTAGTCAGAGGAAAGAAAAGCTGAAAAGCTCTCCGAATACTTTTGCGATGTTTTGTCGCCTAATCGTACCACTCATGGGTGCAGCGAGGTCACTGATGTAGCCACTAAAATGGCCGAAATTGTGGTAGAGGGTGCAGTGGTTCTCAGACTACCATCTAAGCTGAAGCCAAGTAAATTACCTGAACCTGACGGACTTCACTCTACACTGCTAATCTCCTTGGCAGATATATATATATATACATTCCATTTACGGAGATTTTTCAAATGTTTCTGACCCAGACTAGGCTACCCAGGGACTGGGAAGATACTTTTATAAACCCCATCTTCAAAGATGGGAACAGGCAGTTAGCATTTAGCTACCGGCCTATAAGTCTGACCTACATTATAGCAAAGGTGTTGGAAAAACTCATAAGGGATCAGTTCTTAGCTCATATGGAAAAACATGACTTACTGGCAGTAGAACAGCATGGATTCAGACCAGGACGATCCTGCTTGACACACTTACTGTTAGCTGGGGAAGATTAGGTCGAGGCCAGGGATAAGAACCATCTACCGGACGTTGTTTTTATCGACCTTAGTAAAGCATTCGATGAGGTATTCCATTTAGTTCTTCTTAGTAAACTTAAACGTTTTGGATTAGACCAACGCTTATGTGAGTGGTTTAGTGACTTCCCGACGGATAGGAGGAAGAAGGTAAGGGTTAATGGTTTACTCAGAGGGTTGAAAGCAGTACTAAGTGGAATACCTCAGGGAACTGTACTTGGCCCCCTGCTAATCCTTTATACGTCAATGAAGTGCCGAAAATTCTTACCTTATCTTCCTTACGATTTGTGGGCGATATTAAGATAGGGAAAACCGTAAATAGTAACGATGATAGGTTGGTACTACAAAATGATCTAGATAAATTAGCCGAATGGGCTAACCTTTGGAGTCTGGAAATTAATCCCAAGAAATGCGCGCTGATGCCCCTAGGTCAGAAGTCTTACACGTCGTACTCCCTGGGGGACAGAGAACT